TTCTTAAACCTAAAATGATTTGTATTATTAGTCGTTTAAAATAAACTAGTATAAGTAACCATTGAGTTTTTTTTGTTATAAACTTGAGCATATTTCATATTTCTGTTATCTTTATTTATTATGAAAATATCAAGTTGTTGAAGAAAAGAAATATGCTTTGAAACAATTGTAGGAACATAGACTAGTTTAAAAGTTATTGTTAAACAAAAGAATTTATGTGTGCTTTTCACTGAGAAAAAATAAATTATCAAAAAAAAAAAATTTGTTTTTTAACCGGGATACATTACAGATTTGGTTAAACCAAGACGGCAGTCATAAATCAGCCATTTTATCCCTTCCCCTAAAAAACAGCCATATGATATGCTCATCCCATTTGCATTACCTCCAAAGAAAAACTCAATCTCTCTTTGTTTAAATTTCACTCACAACAAAACCAAAAACCCTCAATGTTCTAATATCATCCTCTCCCATAACAAGATGATCGCTCGACAAGAAGAAGGCGAATTCTCTCAAATCTTCAATGCTTTAATGGGTCTAATGAGGAGATTCATATTTAGGGTTCTACGCGTTGGTCCAATCCCGAATCACATCTCATTCATCATGGATGGGAACCGGAGATTCGCCAAGAAACACAATATCAAATCCATAAACGCAGGACACAGAGCCGGTTTCATATCCGTAACATATGTTCTCCAGTACTGCAAAGAGATAGGTGTACCGTACGTCACACTCTACGCGTTTGGTTTCGACAATTTCAAGAGAGAACCTGAAGAAGTCAAGTGTTTGATGGATCTTATGCTGGAGAAAGTCGAGCTCACGATCGAACAAGCTATCTCCGGGAATCTAAAGGGCATAAGAGTGATCTTCGCGGGTGATTTGAATTCGTTAAACGAGCGTTTTAGAGCCGCGGCACAGAAACTGATGGAAATTACAGAGGGGAATAGAGATCTGATCATTGTGGTTTGTGTTGCTTACAGCACAAGTCGCGAGATTGTTCACGCCGTTCGAGAATCTTGTGTGAGGAAGTGTGATGATGGAGACGGTGATGTAGCTTTGGAGTTGAGTGATATTGAAGAATGTATGTATGCATCTACCGTGCCGGATCCGGATCTTGTGATAAGAACCGGCGGAGGAGACCGGCTGAGTAATTTCATGATTTGGCAAACTTCGAAATCGCTACTTCATACCACGGCAGCTCTTTGGCCGGAGTTAGGGCTCTGGCATTTGGTTTGGGCCATCCTTAAATTCCAGAGAATGCAAGATTACTTGCAGAAGAAGCAAAAGCTCGACTAAACAAACCCTAGACCCAACTTCTAACCCTTACATGTTGCTTGCAGTATAAGAAATGATGAGATAACACTAGTAAATCCTTTTTATTATATACTGGATCTAAATAACAAACACAGAGCGCAAAACATAGATGGTTGTACGATTTAAAGG